TATAATTAGCAGCAAGCAAGATTAAGCCAGTAAAAATCATTTGCACAATTAATTTGTCCTTCCCTCTGGATGGGTATAGTGCTATTGTTATGGGCAACTGCTGGAAAACCAGTTATGGTTGTAGATACCTTTTTTACCTGTTAGTGGATAAAAGTGTGATTTAATTGTTAATCAGTAGAGATAAGATAGTTCTTGACTTGATTGCAATTGGGACTGAAGTTTTGGTTATGTCATGATGGTCGTAAATTGAGGCATCTTGTGATAGGCTTATTTTACTACTGTTTTTATAGCAGTCATTAAGCAGTTGTAGTTTTTGGCGAAATCAGCAAAAAAATAAATAAATACCACAAACCATAGTTATATAATGGCAGGAAGCTGCAGCCAATCGTAAACCAGTAGCCAAAATACCTGAAAAGCAGTCATGTGATCGTAAAGGAGTGTGACTTGACATTTCACAATCGCTGGAAATGCATTGCATGTATAAAGAACTCTTTCTGAGGCTGTTATAAATCTAAACAGTCATTAAATTACTAGTTTTAAGTAGAGGATTAACTGTAGTACAATTTTCATTTTGATTCTCTCCCTTTTCCCTTTTCACCAGTGAGAAAGACAAAATAACTACCCGGACACTGAAAGCTCGCATGGATTAAGTTTAATTCCTACTAAGAAAACTCTCAAAATAGGAAATCATGTACTGTTCATGGAATAAACTTTTTTTAAAGCATAACTTTTTCATTTTTATGTAGATGCTGTATATATATTGATTTGTTTAAAATCAAAGATGAAGGGTTGCTCTGAATATAATTTTCATGATGGTGTTATAATATGGTTGTCATACCTAATTGATCTCTAAATTGTAAATGTAAAAAAATGGCATCCAGCTAAATTGGCAGATCTCATTTTGTTAATGTTAAATGCTACTGTTGATGTGAGAAAAGTCCTGCTGAATTCAGTATGTCCTATTACATGGACTTGAGTAGGATTGCAGTAGATATTCAGTGTGAGATCAGATTTAAAGTGAGAAAAAGTGCTTCAGATCTGACTTGGTCATCTTTTCCATGCCAGCTGGAGACTGCTGAGGAAAACATACCTTTGGGTTCAGGGAGTATTGGCAAGGTAGTCATAAAGGAGTTGCTCATGGGTAATGGTGCATCCTAATTTTGGCCCAAATACTGTACATCTATAGAGGCTGAAGAATTAATGTACCACCCAAAAAAGATGACAACAAGGTCAAGGTAATGTTTATTGAGTTCAGCTCAACAAAAGACATTAATTTCAAAATGTCATAACTGAATATTTTTATATGCTTGGAGCGTATTTATTTGCTTTCACATTTCAATACATTTTTAAAACTTCAAAGGTATATATATATATATATATCTCTTGAGCCTACCATAAGACAGCTCATATTTAGCTTTGAAAACCCCAAATGCTGCATTATAAAATAAGCAGAGATAAGTAGTATCCTTAAGCCTCTTACTCATTTCAGTGGGACTTTTTTCTAGACTAAGCTAGGATTTCAGTTTGTGTTAAAGTTCTTTTGAAAATAAGAAATAGCTGTAGCTTTCAAGTGGTGGGGCAAGCAGAAGGCCAGCATTTAGAGGGAAGTCTTATTTATAGGGTAAGTGAAAACAACTGGATCAATAGATCTTATATATGCATGGAATCCCATTTGCAAATAAACTGAACACAATTTTGTGGATATATCCTTGGCTTATCTGGGAACATGCAGCTAATCCTCAGTCACTGACAATTTATTCAGTGATTATGAGTAGTCCCCATAGTCCCATAGTTTTGATTTGGGTGTTTGACAAGCAGCTTGCAATTATGATAATCACTGCATCCCTACACACAAGATTGCCATTTGTAACTTTTGCTGCTAGTGTCTGGCATGCAGGTAGATGGAAAAACTAGTACCCTGTTTCTCCAACAATATGGCCTCCCCCAATAGGAAGTCCCAGCATGTTTTATAGGCATGAAATGAAATTAAGCCCCTCCCCCCCAAATTAAGGCCTATATTAAAACATGCGAAATAGGGGGAATGGTGGGGGGGGGGGGGCTTGCCGTTAGGAAGTACTTTTGTTGCACACCCAGATATGGTGCTGCCTGCGTTGACCCTGATACGAAATGCCCCACCAACGCCAACATCAACATCCAAGCCATCGCCGCCCGCCTGCCCGCCCGAAGATGCAAGGGGGGGAATTAAGTCACCCCCCGAAAAGACAGCCTAGCCATTTTTTCAGGGCTCAAAAAAAAAAGAAAGACCCGGCCTTATTATATGAGAAACACGGTAGAAGGTTGAAATGATCATGTGATATTGCACCCAAGAATCACAACTGGCATCACTGAGTCAAGTCTTTTAAGTTAAACAAATTCAACATTCTTATAACACTTTACTCTGGGGAGAATAAATCCGGAGAGCAGTTTTACACAAAAAAATCGTTTTTATTTTGTTCAACCCACCTGAGAGACTTTACACCTTGTTAACATACATGCATTTCAAAACAGTGTCTCATACTTTATAAGCACATTGATTTTAAATTTTTATTTTAGAAAAGGTATGAAAAACCTAAATTATTTTTTATTAGTTGGAGATTCAAATTTGTAATTGCCTGCTTGCCATTATGCACCAGCTTTTATAATACATTTAAATTAAATGCCATATGATTATATATATTAATATGTTGAATATATTCACATGGTATTCAAGCATACAATTAGGAAGATACTGACAATGGCTGGAACACAAATGTCTTGTTTCCTTTATCTTTTAAAATAATATATGGTTTCACAATACAGTTTTGAAAGATTGCCTAGGATGGCATTGCAAACACTCATACCAGACTCTCAAAGACTTAGATAATGAAGAAGTGCAAACTTTATTTGACCATGTGGCTTATAGCTGATCATCAATATTTATGTGTGTTTATAAGATTCCATTTTCACCCGAATGCTTTCCAATGATACCCTCCCCAAGCCCTTCCTCCACATATGAACAAAACAGACATGATTAAAGATGATTGTCACCATCTACTGCAGTTTAGCCCTTAAAAATCCCACGTTCAACATTTTTTCCAGTGCAGGAAATTCCATCTTAACTGGATGTAATTACCTAACAATATAGACGGGTACATCAATAATTGCAGTGGAAGTTACTATACATTGAACGGATTTGAGATTTTTTTCCTCAAACATGATAGCCAAAACTCAAACTATTAGTATATATTCCCCCTGAAGATATTTTTAGATGACGAACAAAAACTTCTTTTAGAATATGAGCTCCATCTCACTCTAGAATAGGCATGTTAATTAACAATGCTGGGAAGTATGCTACAATATATCTGGAGGGTTGAGGAAGTACATTCCACAAAACAGATGAAGAAAGCGAAGACTACCATCAACGACACATTCTTTGGCTAGATATGATCCAAATGAGAATGAATATGCGTAAGTCTACCTAGGAACAAGACTAACACATATGATGCCCCCAAATCCTCCAAATAGGTCGCTAACTTTCTTAAGTCATAAATCTGCCCCAAATATATATGCATTCCCTTGCATAAATTGAAATCTGTTTGATTTCCAAACAAAGCACTTGACCTAGAAGACTAGCTCTATGCACCAATGGTCATACATTACTGCTAAATCTCCAAATAGTTTAGGATTTATCTGCTTCTGATCCAACATGGGCTCTTCTGCAACAAAACAAGGGATGGGAACAATTTTCAGACTAAACTGATGGATAAATTGTGCCAATATGCATGCCCTTATTGGAATGAAACTTGGGGCAAAAAAGCAAATGAATGAGTTTTAAATAGACTCAAGGACATACTGAATTGGAAATAAAATTGCACTGCCAGTGCTATCCTTAGAGTTAGAGGAGAAAACATCCACAAACTATTTTTTAGAGTGATGTATTTAAGGATATCAGGCAGGGAAGAATCACTGATATAGAAGATGGTAACACGTGATTAGATCTATATTTAATCACAGCTCTTCTCTGTCAAAACTAACAATACTCTGAAGAGATTGAATGTCTTCCTTTTTCCCCACTTGTAGCATTACAGGCAATGCTTTGATCAGAATGTATTCTGTACATCATTCTCAATGCATTGCCAGATCAATTTAATGTTCATAAGAAGGGGGAAATTCTAATACTGTCGTGGAAACAAAAGGTTTCCATGTGATGTCATTTTCTGATTAAAAATTTGAGTGTGAAAGAAAAAGGAATGTTAAAAGTTGCAGAAATTCCCAGTGAGCAAATTTCAAGTGTCCATACATGGATGTAAGTAACAACAGTTTCCCCAAAAGATATCTTCCAGATGTATAATGTCTACAAATCCCATGTTTAGTGCTGTAAATGAAAGCACCTCAAGGATATTTGGTTTGGGGAAACCTGAAGTAAAAAAGCTGATGACATCGCTCTTGACCTCCCCACCAGCCTTTTTCTGTTTGAATATTTCAAATTATGAAACAATTTTTCTATTAAGCAAATAATTGAGGGGGGGGGGAATTCCACAACTGGTTAATAGATACATGTGTCAAATGGGTCTGAGCACCACCCAAGGGCAGAGCTCAGAGGCTGAATATTAAGTCAATAGAATAGAGAAAGGATAAAATGGGACTAGAGAAAAAAGCCAGCTATAGTTCTGCTGATATAGGATATAGGACTTTAAGATGAATTCAGATGAAAACCTTAAAAGTTCCTGATAGAGGGCAGAAAAACAAAAGGAATAAATATGGGAATGGCAGATGGCAAAGAGGATATATTATCAACAAAGGCAAAATCAGAGGTGGTATTCAGCAGGTTCTGACCAGTTCTGGAGAACCAGTAGTGGAAATTTTGAGTAGTTTGCAGAACCGGCAAATATCACCTCTGACTGGCCCAGCCCCCATCTATTCTCTGCCTCCTAAGTCCCAACCAATCGGTTGGGTCATGTTGCCCTGCACAGGAAAATAGAGCTGGAAATCAGGTTAGTGGGGTGGGGAGGGAATGGAATTTTGCAGTAACCTTCCCCTGCCATGTCCACCAAGCCACGCCCACCAAGCCACACCCACAGAACCGGTAGTAAAAAAAATTGAATCCCAACACTGGGTAAAATGTAAGGACTAACAACTCAATGGCATGTATGACAGAATACAAAAATCAAACAGGGAACTAAAGGTGAGTTTAGGGATATATTTCGAATCCTCTTGAGAGATATCTGAGTAAAACTCAAATTCAACATCTAAGCACAACGTATGTACATCAAAGAGGACTTTAAACAATGAGCATGGAATAGAATCAACAGATGGTTGGGTGGCTTTTGTCAGGATATGAAGGCAGTTGAAGATAAAAGAACAGGATATTAAAGGTGTTAAAAAGAAAAACTTCTGGAAATGGATTGTGGGACTGGAGAGAGCACAGATACAGACAAGAGAGGCAAAGGCCAGAGAAGACTGAGAAGAGAAAGTAAGAGGAGGCGAAGACTGAGAGTTTGTTCTTTCTGCCTGAGTGCCCATTATTGGTTGTTTCAAGTGTCTTCTATAAATGAATCAACCAGGTAACACATCTTTTCATAGTTTTTTAAAACTGTACACTGACTAACTCCTAAATAGATTAAAGCTGGCAAATATTTGTAAAAATTGTAAAAAACAGCATTTTAAGTTAATGTTTACCAATTTTAATTAAAATGTAAGCAAAAGGAGCTAAAAATGAAATTCCCAGTTAAGGCAGGGGTAGACCAAATTTTCTATTTTACATTGAACTTTTAAGTGCACCATTTGAGTTTCCAAAAAATTTACAGCCTATCAACATATCCATATCCATGCCTGCCTTTTGAAATAAGTTCCTAAATTCACATTAATTTTATGATAAAACCAATTGGGAAAGATAAAACATTGTCGCTTCTAATAAAAGAAATCTGCTTTGAAATGTAGGTGAAAAAATCGTTCAAATCTCTAATTTGTAATTTATGCCTTAAAAAATCTTATGGTATGTACAGCATATTCCATGATTTTTAAGCCTTGTAAATATGACTTTGGAATCATGGAATGCATTATGCATTTTGTTGCTATTTATGTGAAAAATCTCATCCAAAAGAATACACATACTTGAGGGCAACAAAGAAAGAAAAAAAATATTTACCTTACTTCCAAAAAAGACAAAATCCACAAAGCAGAAGGCACAGGACATTAACACCCCAACAATCACATACAAAAAAAAGCATGTGTAAGAAACACATTCAGAAAGAGTAAGCAAAGGGTCTTGATTGCAAGTTGGTGGTTCATAATTTGCCATATCCCTCTTTTTAAAAAAATCTATAAACAATCCATCCTCATAAGAATATTGAAAAAATGGAATAAATGAAGTCAAAATCTTCAGTTTTGACAAGTACAGTTGTGAAATCCAACATCAGTCTGTAGATTACAAGAAAAAGTTGTAATTCAAATGATGCAAGAGTTTGGATTCTTTTAAAAAAACTGAACTAGTGCAACTTATTCCAAAAATCTGGATTAGCAGGACAATCTGTCCTAGTGGTTAAAAGCAGTCACCTTCAACAATTTATTACATTTTCCCTATATTCTGAAACTAGATTCTTCCCAAATGGAATGATCAAAAGCTAATATTTCTAACACAATGGTTCACAGCATAAGATGTTACAAAGAAGTGGTACCTTTTTTTAAACAGGAAAATATCATTTTACACCATTTACAACCAGATCAAGGTATAAAAGTTTGAACCATGAATAATTTAGCTCTGGTAGATCATTATTAAAGATAACTTAATCCAAGTTGTAATCCAACTCAGTACAAATGTGTCTGCAGCTTATCAAAGTATTATTTCCATGAAGTTATCTCACCTCTTCATGCTCTCCACCAAGAAATTGTATCGTATTTCATTAGAAATGTGGATTCTTCTGGAACTGTTTTTTTTTTCTCCCTTGATTGCATAAAAATTTAAGCAGTCATCTAATTCCCTCATATTCTCACTTTTTTGAAATAACAATGCAAAATGAAAGTGGGATATCAAAAGACCGGAAGTAAAAAGTCCTTGTTCAACTAACTTAAAATGGCTTTCCTTAATTGTTATAGCAGTTCTTGTCCTTGAAATGACAGGGCATCACTTGTCCAATCCTTAGAGAAAGCAACAAAGAGAATTTGCTCTGAGAGAACAGCCATAGTTCAATCGAAGGAAACCATCATTTATATCTTCTGTTATGTGTTCACATTAACATCTGACCATTTGGAAACTGATGCTTTTCAAAGAAAAGTGCAAATCTTAACACTACTTTATTCCCCAGGTTTATGTTTGGATATTTATATTAGCAACCAAAATAGAAGAGAGTAATAGTCTCATTTTCCACCAGGTTTGAGGCCCACATCTAGAGGTTAGTTTTCTGCTAGGTCAGACTGTCATCACACACTCACAGAATACCATATCCAGCAGACTGGGCTGCATTCCTGTAGAACTGAAAACACTACTCCCCCCCACCCTCTACTATTCTTCTCCCTCCTTTTCTGCCAACAACAGGAAGACAACTATGTCAGGATATTGGACATAAATTCATTGAAGCGTTTTGAATACTGTTCGGGATTGACAGTGGAAATTTCTGCTCCAGCCTAGAAAACAAAATAAAAATCTTAAACACATATAATTTCATTCAAGCATAAAAATCATTTCTTTAAAGAGGTTATTCCAAGTTTTTAAAACTCTGAGAGGTAGCAAATGGCTCTATACCGATTCATCCTCTTCAGAATCTGAAGGAGAAAAGGGTTTACAATCTACATATTACTCATGGATATTTATGAAGAAAAATTGCTCAGCTGATGATGTCTCAAACATCTTCTGACTATCCTAGCCTTTTTGGCAGTAGAGAATGCTCTCCAGGCCCAGTGCTGTTTGAATGCCCCAAGGAGCAAAGCTCTCTTCCTGTGTTTCCGCTCAGTTTAGAGAGCCAAATAATCACCTGCAGCAGAAAGGCAGAACATCTGAACAGACACTTATATAGCCATCAGAAAAATGTGGTTACAACCTCTCTAATTATGGTTACAGCCTCTTTCTCATGCCTTTTGCGCAGGCAGAGGAACAACAAAGGCACTTGCCTGAAAGATGATGCAGCCTATTTTAGGATTATGGAAAGAATAGGACTGCCTCTCCAACAGTGACTTCATCACCTGCACAAAAGTATATTGTTACAGTGTTCAATTAGAATGAAGGGCTGGGGCTAGAAGACAGCCCAGGAAAAAACCTGGGATTAGCATTTTATTGGAAATAAATTATCAGGAAACCAAGAGTCCTCTTAAAATTATTGCTAAGGCAGGTGAAAAGAAAAAAAAATAAAAACTGAGCAGAAAGGCATTGGATCATGCCCATTTGAACAGATAAATTGGGACTGGAAGAAGGAGGCATTGTTATCTTAACAGCTCTAGCTTCTGAATGTCCAAAGGTTCTTCTGTAGTAATTTTACAGTGGTCCTCATTTAGCATTCTGTAACATATGGCTTTGGGTGATGAGGTCCTGGCGGGCAGAGCTGAACTGGAGAAAGTTATTTAGGAAGGAAGCCATGTACACTGGCAAGAGATTCATTGAAAGGAGGGGATTCCTTTGGAGGGGGGAGTAAAAGACTCAGGAATAGACAGAAACAGAGGAAACAACAATAGAATAATCAATAATAGCAATAGAAAAATCATATCAAAATGTATCTTTGGTGTGGTCATATTAAAATATTCCTGATGAATTTACTTAGAAGCTGTAGAATGGTCAGAAAACAACAACCAAAATGAATAGAAGATGAAAGGCTATGATGTACCCATGTTTCCCTGACCACAAAATAATTATGTCCACTAGGGTTTATTTTTTTTGAGGGTGACTTTTCTTCCCATGTTCACTTCTGCCTGCTCACGCGGGGCAGGGAGCTGCGCGGTGTGCCAGTGCAACCACTGCGAGGCAGTGAGGGTGGAGCTGCCCCACACACCCCACTCTGGCTTACCTCAGGACCCCTGCAAGCAGTCTACCCACACACCGACATCTATCTCACCTCACAGCCATGGCACCAATACACCACTCGGCTTCCTTCTTCGTTGTGGCCACGAGCAAGCAGAAGAAGAGGCTGGCGGCTACGTGAGCTTCTGCTGCACATGGCTTCCGGTGCTACTGCTGTGAGGCAGATGTCAGGGCATGGATGGCCTGGCTACAGGGGCCCTGAGGTAAGCCAGTGTGGGATGCGTGGGGCAGCTCCATCCCCTGCCCCATCTTGTGGCTGCGGCACTGTGAGCAACCAGACAGAATGGGCAGGCAACTGGCTGCACACGCTCTTAAGTAGGGCTTATTTGGGGGAGGGGGAGGGCTTATATTAGGCACACTCATAAAAAGATGCTAGACTTCTTTTCGGGATAGTTCTTTTCAGGGAAACAGAGTATCTTAAATCAGAACGGTGATCCAATTACACTTGAATTACTGAAACCTTATATCTGTTTTAGAGTTAGACAAGCTAAGTTTCTCTGACTGCATGTGGCTTTTATTTAACAAAATTTTTGTTCCAGGTTTTCATTATCTTTTGCAAATTCCAAAGCCCATTGCAACCAGAATTCCTGAAAAACTGCTATCATTTTTTGAGTGATATACACATTAAAATATAGTACAAATGAATATAATATACTGAAATATTTTTTAAAAAAAAACACCCATGGAAGTCTTAGCCCCATCAATTTATATATGAAATTGTTGCATCCTTGCCTCCCTTTCACAATTTTGGACCACTGCTCAGCCAGCTGTGGCTTCAGTTGTTCTGAAATACGTTATAAAATGTTTGGCTAAGCAAAATGAGATAAATGCAAACAAACAGTTCTTTCTTACCCCATGTTTCACCGTTTTGGCAGCATGTGCTGCTTTTTTCTTTGTGTCATAAGGTGTAAGGATATCTATAATTGCCATGAAATATACTTCCTTCTTAGGGGCACCTGGTTAAAACAAAACAGACAGAAATTTATCAGTACTGGAGGACGCAGAACATTTTTTAGGATTTGCTATTCTTATTGAACTGCAAGCACAACTAAAGCACTCCAGAATTTTTTACGTTAAATAAATTGTCCAAGATGTAGATTTTTACTCAGCAGATGCTTCAGGCAGCACTTAAAACAGTGAAAATATTGAGGAAGGTGAAATGGATGGTTTTATTATACGCAGAGCAGTTTTCTCTTCAACTGTGTTAGACTTGAGAGTAAGTATTATTTTTGAAAAACTTTGGAATATAGGTAATCTTCAATATACATCAGTCATTTAATGCCCATTTTATGTTACAGCTCCGAAAGGGTATTTTATGGCCCTTAAAGCATTTCCAGGCATCATAAAAACATTGTGTCATTCCCCCCGCCCCCCGGTCAGTCACATAATTGTGTGGGTGCTGATCAACTTGTCCACATTTACAACCAGTTGTTGAGTGTCCCATGATCATGCAATTGCCATTTATAATCTTCTCTGCTGGTTTCTTTGGAAAGTTAATGGGGAAGTTGGCATGGAAGGTTAGAAGTTGCTAACCATTTGCTGAAGGATTTACATTTCCTTCTATACAAGGTACAAATTGTTCTGGAAATCCTTAATCAGGTTGCAGAACTGAAGATCAGATTTTTGCCATCCCTGCATCATATTTCCAGTGCAACACCCAAGTTTCTTTCCACTCATGGAAGTTGTGCCTTGGGCAGGAGAGACAAAGGAGAATATTTACAATCCCCATCTTGTCTTTCCTCCCCAACATGAAATCCCTTCTATATATGGAGGAGAGAAGTATTTGTGCAAAAAGAGGGTCTTTCTGATTTCTACAGCCCAGTGCATGGGTTCCCTTTTACACACAGAGTGGTGCTAGCTGTCCTCTTTCAGCAGGTAACTCTTTTGCTCTGTCAATTTAACAAATACAACTGGGAGAGCTGGTATTATAGTTGGTGAGGGAAGCAGTCACGTGGGCATTTTGTTTAACAACCATTTCATTCAACAAGATTCCAGTCCCAATTGTACTCATAAGTTGGTTATACATTAGCTATTCAAGATAAATATAAGTAGTCCTCAACTTATGAGCACAATTAGACTGGAATCTCAGTTAAGAAAAAGGGTCATTAAACAAGACATCATGTGACTGCTTTGTTCAATGTCTGCAATCTCAGCACTCCCAGTTGTGGTTGTTAAGCGAGGCTATTGGTTGTTAAACAGAGGGAGTCAAAGATAAGGATTGGTGGGGGGGAGCTTAGGAGGTTTTGAGAGTCTTTATAAGCTACAGGACACACCAAATTGCACATTTTCAGGATGCTTCTAAAGCACCATGAGAGACAGCTCTATTCTGACAATCCTTTGGAAGCTTCCTCCTCCAAATTGGGCAACTTGGAGAAGGAGAATTCCAAAGAATGGAGCCTATCTGGAGAATGGTGCAAGGTATCCTTAAGAGGAAAGCACCTTGAATGGACTGAATGATGTGCTTGTCAGCAGTTAAAGAAAACTGTGAAGATAAATGGGTTGCTTTGCATGTACTGATGGGCTTGGTAGCCAACTAAGTCCTTCTGGGCTATGGCAGTTTTTTGCATGCTATTGGGCCCTGTAGTAAATCAAGGCTTCCCGGGCTGCGGAAAGTTTCCAAGTGCTAATGGACTACAGAGGTTGGGGTAGATAGGTGGATGCAGGGAAAGAGCTGTATCCACTTCTGGAGTCATATTGCAAATAGGCTGCTAAATTTTGTTCACATAACCACAGGGAGACTACAATGGACATAACTTTGGGCACAAGTTGTAAGTCATTTAATTCAGGACTGTTATAATTTCAAATGGTTACTAAATTAATGGTTGTAAATCAAGACTACCTGTAGGCATAATGAATACGGGACAAAGCTCCTAAAGGATATGAAGATCTTCTGGACATTTGTGTATTAGAGAAGACATCCAAGTTATTTTCTCTATCACCTGGCTCTCAAATAATGGCTGCACACTATAAGGAAAATTAAACTGGAAGTCATGTCTGTAATTAAGGCAATTTTATTGGATGCACTATTGTAGTTCAGGGAGTCAAACAGTCTTAAGATTTCCAAAAAAGTGGAGAAAATGATGTTGATTCAAATAACCACCATGTATGCTTACAATCAGACTGGCTTTCACAATTTTACATTTGTCTTCCATTCTCACTACCAGCATCCAGATCTCAGTACTTACTTTCATGGCTTTTCATAGCATAGACATCCACAGATGGATCAAACTCCCCAGGCCCAAAGAAACGTGGGAAGTTGAGAAGGTTACCAGGACTGTCAGGTGGAGTCCCATAGGAACCAATTGGATTCCCACCTATGCCATCATTCTCACATTCTTCATCTTCTGTCCGGTTCTCAACTTCCATCTCTTCTTGCTCAGCTCGATCAACATCATGAATTCCAACCAGCAAGCTGTAATCCATGATTTTCAGTTGTGCAAGAAACTGGAAGCCAACAGAAGAAAAAATTCCTTTTCATTTTCAATGTCTCTCTATCACCTCTGGGATTTGAGTTAAACCATCTTTAATTAACCTGGCACCAGCTCCAAGTATTGAATCCCATAAATCTCAAAGCATTTTTTACATGATTGCTTGGAATTCTTGGGATTACAAAGTTATAGAAGAAAATGTTTTTAATTAATTGTTGTATGTTGCAACTTATATCAGATTGTTGTAAGATTTAAAATGGGATGAGGTGGAAGGGAAGACTAGTTAGTAATCCATGTGCAGGTTACGTATCAGGCAGACTGCTAGTACTGAATCAATTAACAATTATAATATGTTAAAAAAACCCACTGTATTTGCAGAAATATTGCCTAAAACTTTTTGTTTTCTATGAGCTCAGAAATTTCTCATTCAATGATCCTGAACTTTTACAAAATGGTCATTTTAAGACAGGGATTCATACTTGACAGCTTTAAGACTTGTGGACTTCGACTCCCAGAATTCCTCCTCTAGTCATGTTAGCTCAGGAATTCTGGGAGTTGAAGTCCACAAGTCTTAAACTTGTCAAGTTTGAAGACCCTTGTTTTAAGATCTGTTCCACTTTGAGGCCTGCATTCTGTTTAAATTTAAAATGATTGAACTATCCAATAAAGCTTGTTAGTCACAGAAGATGCTACCAGATTCCTTCTGCAATGTGTAGGAGTAACTCTCACTTCTGTTGATCTTAAGTTATGGAAAACTCAGTTACTCTTGAGTAAGATGAAGGAGGAAATCTCCAAAGTGAATGCAAGAGAAATAAAACTCTTCTGTCTGCTTTTTCAAATAAATTTTCAAATTAATCTAAATTCACTTTAGAGTCTGAGACAGAGTCTAACAGACATCTCTACCTTATCTAGTTTTTAAAGAGTTTGAAAACTATTGTAACAGTGGAGATTCTGTCAATCACACTTCTTAGTTATGCCCTGATTCCCAAAAATTAACAACTTACTGTATTTTTCGGTCTATAAGAGGCACCCCCCCAAAAAAGTGGGTGGAATTGTCTGTGCATCTTATACAGCGAATGTTGCCAAAATCATTGGCCCACCCGTTGGTCTCTGCCTCCCAGCAATTTGCCTCCTTGCAGCAAACAGCCTGATCAGCTTCAGCACAGCTGATTTAACACAAACAGCTGATTGTCAGTTGGATTGGCCTCCTGCCGATCAGCTGTTTCAGGCTGCAGGGATTGCCATTGCCTATTGCCACCTATGCATGCCCCATTTTAGGTCTCCACATGCCCCATTTTCGGCCTGTTCTGATCCCCACCGCTAGAATGGGCCAAAAATGAGGCACACGGAGGCTAAAATGGGGCACGCAGAGGCTGAAAATGGGATACGGAAGCCAAAAATGGGGCATGTGGAGGTGGCAATAGGCAATGGTGATCTCTGCAGCCTGAAACGGCTGATTGTCGGGAGGCAGATCCAACCGACAATCAGCTGCTTGTGCTAAATCAGGCTGTGCTGAAGCTGATCAGGCTGTTTTCTGTTTTCTGTAAGAAGGCAAATTGCTGGGAGGTGGAGGCAGAGGCAGATTTTTTTTCTAGGTGCGTCTTATACTTTGGAGCGTCTTATAGTCCGAAAAATATGGTAGCTCTCCTACCTCAACATCTCGCTTCAATTTCTCCAGGAAATTTTTTTTACATTCCTCTCCAACATGGAGCTTTTGGCCTTCATTTAGAAAATCGTTGTCTTTAAAGGTTGGTAGATCCTTCGCCTAGAGAGAAGGATTGAACTCAAGTAAGTGCAAAACATTACTTCCATATTATACAATCCAAAGCAGCTCAATATCCTGTTTGCTGAAGTTAGGGCAAAGGGAATTACAATCAACTTTGAGTAAATAATTTAAAAAATATGAAAATATTGATGAAAAACTGCTAAGTTAAAAGTAAAAGTTTGTGAGAGATTGTGGGAAGTAAGTAAAGATTGCAGGTTAGATCAGAAAAGCCGACACAGACCAGTTGAAGAAAGCATTTCAAAAAGAGACTCCTCCTAGGAATTGGTCTTTCCATTTTGTTGTTAACCCTCCCACAGCTGGCAAACCAAGGAACCAAAGCCATATAGGTTTCAGGAAGATATATCTGTGATAAAACCAGAAATGTTTATTCCTGCCACACCTATACTAAATTAACTGTCTTTTTAAAAAGCCCCATCTTCCTAACCTATGTTCTTCTGGTCCATTTGATGAGGCTACATAGTAAGGGCATCTTTGGGATTCCTGGATGGTGTCATCCATTTTAAACACACACACATCAAATTTCCCATAATTAGAAAAGTTGTAAAACTCTTAGTTCAGGACAAAGATGAATCAATCTTGTCCTTGTTTTTGTTTTTGTTGTTGTTGTTGGACAAATTCCTGCAGTTTTATCAGCAAGAGTTTTTAGAAGTGGTTTGCCTTTATTTCCTTCCTAGGGCTGAGAGAGAATGTTTGCCTCAAGGTCATTCAGCTGGCTTTGTGCTTAAGACAGAACTGGAATTCATGGTCTCATGTTTTCTAGCTGGTGCCTCAACCGCTACACCAGACTGGCTCTCTTTCACCAATTAAGTGATTAGGAAACATATTTATTGCTCTGGAAAGTACTTGTCCTCTACTTATAGTAAACTTCAGATTCAGATTTCAGCGAGATACACCATCTTTATCTTATCCTATTGGCTGTCTAGATTGCTTATGTCTAACAGTGCAATAGTATTCCAGTATTTTTATTCTGTAACATTTGGAAGCCTTATTGCTCCATCTCAGAATGAGGTTGCAAAAAAGCAATATAATAACAACAACATTTCTTTATTAAAAAAGATTGGGTTCATGAACCATAGAACTAAGTCAGTTAAGGGTCTATATGCTATGGGATCACACTAATATTAACTGGGGCAAGAGAGGATAGGGCAAAAGATGGATGCATCTAGAAATCAATCTAATTCAAATAATTCATTAAAGGATATGGTGGCAATAGTACCATAATTAGAAGCTCAGAACAACAAGATAAAGAATAAATATTGTTTTAGCTCTTTATATTATAATCATGGATGCTTATAGGTGGCACATTCAGCCAACATATGTCTTCAGTGGTCCCTCAAGGTGCACCCCAGAACTCTCCTCCAATTCTCCCATTTCCTACTTTACTCCTTTCAACTATGCTTTCTGCTAATACCTCAATTTCCACTTTCTGTCTTAACTAGAGAATCCAGAGTGATTTGTAGAGCTATTTGACATCTGTATGGAGTGAAATGCAAATAATTTTGAGTGCCCATATAATTTATAATATAGGTAGTCTTTGACTTATGACCAACTGCACCTGGAATCTTGAGCAAAGTGGCTATTAAGCAAGATGTCACTTCATTGCGTCACTCAATGACCACAGCTTCGGTACTCCTGGTTGTGGTCATTAAGCTATCTCACAGTTTGTTAAGTGGACAGAGTCCCAGGTAAGATTGCCTCAGGGGCATGAGAGAGGTCCTAGGAGATCCAGTGGAGGCCACATGTGAGTGTCTCTTTGCTCTGAAATTGTAAACCCTCTCTGCTGAAATCAAAGCTCCTGACGAGAGAGATACTTGTATCTAAAGGAAGTGGTATAATGTACCGCGATGGTTAGGATGGCATCCTTTCCATGGCTGTCTTTAATTCAAACCACCAATAAGCTGAGGACTATCTGAAAGGGAGAAGGTCCAAAGGGAAAAATGCTGTTTAAACTGCCTTTGTCTGTGTCTTTATTTTTCTCAATCCCAATAGGAGGAATCTCTGAATAAATGTATTTTAGGAGTCTCAGAGGCAGACCCACTGGCAGTTTTTTTGTTTATAACTGGAGAGACACTATCAATGATTGCATGTTTAAATGTATGTCTGGGCCAACATGCTTGTCTATAGGGGAGAAATGGAAGGAGCGAGGATATCCACTTTTGACTGATGTCTGAGTTTCTAATAATCTTTTATATGCATTTAGTCAACTCTCAAACATTAAAATCCTACTGTGGCTTAGGACAAATATTCTACTCCCAAACAAGAGCTTAAGCCAGAATAGAAACATGTTTATTTTGATAAGTACTAATTGTTTAGCTGCCACTTATTTTAATATTGTATCAAGCTACTAATGTTATGCATCATTGCCAGATTCTATTAAACTTTTATATTTTTATATATGATTTTGATTATCAAATACAGCCTTTAAAAAAAAGCAGCTTCTTTTTAAAACCAAAAAATAATCTTAATTGAAAAAAGAATGCAAAGTCATCATGTGAAGGATAAGAACACAATCACTGTATGCTCTTTCCTATATCTACCCCATACATGATGCAAAGTAGCTATCCAAATGCAGTTCAATACATCTTCTCAGCCCCTCCATATGTCACTTTCCTCTCTTATATAGCACAGGCCAATCCTTCCTAAACTGTCATTTTCCAAAACTTTGCTGGACTACAATTCCCATCATGCTCTCTGGGAGCTTATTGGGTTAAGTTGGGTACTTGTATAACATAGGATCTTTTGCTAATCCCGTTAGAAGTACTTATACAGAAGTAACATTTTTTAGGTTTATTCAAAACATAAAGATTTTTATTGTAAATCTTTCTCTAACATTGACTTTTACCTTTTCTTTGTCACTGGCTTCTCTTGCTACTGTTGAACCCTGAAGGAAAAGTAAAAAATAGAAAGTGATTATTTATTTAAAGCAAAAAGCTTTTAAAAAACCTGATTATGCATCTATAAATTAAGGGCTACTGTAAGCCAGTGCATTTTTCTTTGTCTTATTTACTCTAATTTCATTTTATAAACATTTAAACCATAAAAAGGTTTTATCTGGGAAAATATTACACTTCCCAGAATTCAGTGGTCGGATTCAATTTTTTTTTACCACCGTTTCTGTGGGCGTGGCTTGATGGGTGCGCTTTGCAGGCGCGCATCGAGTTTGCTACTGACTTTCTCCTGCAATCCTGCACTCTCCCTGCATCTTCAACAGCTGACGCGTGGCAATCTGCTGTGCCACGTGAAGCAGCTGAGCTTCAAAACCAGGAAATAAAGGTTAGAATAGAGCCAGGGCAGGTGGGCCCAGCAGCTAATCGTTGGAGTGAACCTGTTTGGCTGAACTGGTAGAATACCACCACTGCCAGAATTGAATACATTAAGTCAGCTTTACTATGTTAGTTTTAATTGATGCTGCACAGAAAAAGAAGGACCTATAAACTCTGAGATTCTTTCCAACTTTATGATTCTATGATTTAGAAATGACTTATTGAAGGTCAACAGTCTTCTTCTCACTTTCCTATTGTGATCCTCATGGATCACATGGATCCATGAGGATCACATTATCCTCTCCCGCAAGAAGGCATCTACTCTCCATGGCTGAAGGCAGAATGTTACAGACAGACTAGCAGGATTCAAAGAACATGCTAAATCTGATCCAGAAAAATAAAATAGAACTGCTATGTTTGTCCAATGAATGAACACTTACGGTTTTATGGATAGCCAGGTTTATACAATATACTAAAACAACACCTGAATTTTCTCATCTCAGTGAACCATAAACTAATTGCCTTTGATCTAGGAAATCAAGTACATCAATGCATTACTGTATGACATTTTTTTGGATGTGTAATGCAGGAATATATGCAATAATACTTCAATTCTGATTGTCAGCTACTCTTTGCATTATATGCAAACAGAAGTTGTCAAATAGTCATAAGATTACCTGAAACCAAAATATTTCCAAAGAATTAGACTAAAAATTTCTGAGTCAGTTATTCAAAACAAAATATTTACTTTACTCTCTAATGTCATTTAGTAATCCCGTTTTGGGGAGGGAGATAGGGAATATCAAATTTGATTTCTCTACTAGCAAATTACAGGAATTAAAAACACTACGATACAACTAGTGAATACCACCACATCTCATTTCACACAGAAAATCTGGAAATAATATTTCTCCTTTTAACTCCGTGGTGAGAGCTTTCCTCTTCCAGCATAAAACTCATACTGAGTGCAAAATTAACGCTAGGTCTAATGCTTTAGTGTAGCCATGGTCTACTGGTCTCAACCCTCAGAGAAAACCAACATTCTTATACAAGGAAACCAAACCTTGTGAATATAAAAGTAGTCTTTGACTTATGATTACCATTGAGCTCAAAATTTTCATTACTAAGCAAAACAGAAATGCGTTTTGCCTCATTTTATGACCTTTCTTGCCAAGGTTATTAAGAGAATTACCGTGGTTGTTAATTTAGTAACAGGGTTATTAAGTGATTCCAGCTTCCCCATTGACTTTGCTTGTCAGAAGGTCACAAAAGGTGACACTGCAACTATCATAGTTGCCAAACATCCAAATGTGATAATGGAGATGTTCCAATGGTCCTAAGTGTGAAAAATGGTCATGTCACTTTTTTCAGTGCAGTTGTAACTTCAAATGGCCACTAAACAAATGGTTGTAAGTCGAGGATTGCCTATGGTAGCCATGTGAATTACACGAAAATAGTATTTTTCAAACAATATCTTCCTTTCTTTCACAACTCCAAGACTCAAGTACCTGCTTATGATTCTAAACTTACAAGCGTGCACTTTTTTTGAGGCCAGAATGTGACACTGTTGAATTTCAGAGATGCTCACCTTGAGATCATATTTCCGATGCACTGTCAACCGGTGACTAAATACATTCCTTGTAACTACCATGTAGGTTTCCACACCATCTACTGTAAGCCTATACATGCCAAGAAACTGGGGTAAAAGTGTATTCCCATGACATTCCACAATGAACTGAATAAGGGAATAAGGGAAAAAAGGAAAGAATATATAATCAATTAGTGTAGTCTAAAAGCTGCCGGGTTTTTGAGGTTGCCACAGAAGGAAGGTTTAGAAGGGCATCTGAGGCACTTTCTAAAGTATCAATATTTCATAATATAACCCGATATACTAAATTATTTATACTAAATAAAACCAAATGGACAACATCTTTTTATTTTGTAGAATGGTTGAGAATTATTTCATTGGTAAAGCATAATTGTTTTGCTACAACGGTTAATCTTAGAAATAGGGAACATAGTTCTGAGCCTCATTTTGCCAGAATGAAATTGGATAATTACAAGAAAATAATTATTGCAGTCACATTTTTCTAAGCTCAGATCTCTTCAGTTATCATTAAAAAAAACTTATTTTCCGCAATTAGGTTATCTTCTAATTATTGGCCTAAAACTTCCACTGTCCTGAATAGACCAATCAACTCAAGTATGAGTTATTCAAGAGAAACTATTGGTTTAGAACATTTTGATAATGCAGCTAGAATATCCTGAATCGAAAAAAATGAAAATAAAATGAATTTCAGGATAAAATAAAAGAAGGATAAAGAAAAAAAATATCCCCACGATACAAAACAAAATCTGTTCATTTGGATGGTAAAAGGGTTTATTGAGCTTTTTCTTTTGATATTCCATTGCCTCCATTTGGAAGGTTGCTTCTTTATCCACAAGATGTAAGTTAATTATGGCAGGTCTTTCCAATAACTGGAAAGTGAAAAAGAAATTGAGGAAAATAGATCTGGGCATATCTGTATCTGATAGTCTCTTCTAAATAAAAATAATGCAGCATAATTCATAGGTTATGCTTGCAATCATCTCATAAACTGAAAGGAAGCAAACTCTTTTTTCAGCTTCTTTTTCTCCTGATGGGAGAGAACAGGATAATTTCTGTAAAATTGTCCCCCAAAATATGAGCATTTACTAAAACGCACACCAAAACAGTATACTTTCTTCCTACGTATATTTCACCTGATGGTATTTCTTTAGAATGTTGTGCATCTCTGCAACATCTTCACTTGACACTGCCTTGATGACAAACCGCCGGTCATAGGTGGTAAGGAAGCGAACTCCACATCGCCCGTGGCTATCATTGTATACTGGAGCACTCCGGGTCACAGAATTCTGTGTGGAGATAAGAGAAGAACAAAATCCATACTTGGAAATGATGGTGAAGAGAAGAGCAGACTGACTGGGTATGTCACTGGGTATGGGTATGTCACAATTGTATAAAACTAGGCAGCCCATACCCCTTATTTCTGTGTCTCTGTTTAGACACAGAAAAACAAAAGGCAGGCAAAAAAACAGAGGGAGTAGGAGCAACTTTCAACTTTCAACCAGATTCCCCACTGAGTTTCCTAATGGAATCTGGCAGGGATCATTGGACAGTTTACCTTCCATTTCCAGCAGGCTGGTAAGTGGCTGCTGCTGAGTGGGAGAAGGAGCAAGGGATTGAGAGACTGGCTGGGAAACTCCTACATAACATCACATCTAGGCATGTGACTACAGTAGCAACCAGTAGCACTGAAGCAGCCACAATTTCCCCAAATTTCATTCCCTGCAGAGGCCCGGATTTTGGACACATTCTGTAAGTTAGCTTATTTGAGGTTGCTTCAAAAATTATCTCCCTATGATGTATCATCTCACCTAATTAAAGAACAGGTCAATGAGAATTTAATACTATATAGATGACAACTAAGAGGTATGGGGAAGAAAAGTGCTAGGAACACTGATGGATAAGCTAGCATATACATGATGTGGAGAAGGAAATCAAAGAGAGCAAGAGGAAGTTCTAGACCTTTCTCTATTCACATCTCAGGCCTGAGTGTTTTCGGTTGAAACCCGAAACAGGATGTTCCAGATTTTAATTTGGCCCACTCAAAATGGTTCTGCTAAACCTCTGTGCCACAATGTATTTGTTCTGGGCATAGAACATTTCTTTACGTCAGGGGTCTCCAACTCCCCATAAGACTACCAGGTCTTATGTCATTTGGAACCAGGCTGTAGAAGTGATGGATGAGCATGCACACACCTCCATTTGCGCAAGTAGTAGGCAAACACATGCATGCGCAGCACTTCATTTGTGTAAGTGGCAGGTGTGCGTGCTCACTGCTCATGCAAATGGAGCTGCATGAGCATACACATGCTTGCTCACCACACAGATGGAAACATCCCCTCTCCCTGCCACCGTTCCATAAGGCCAGAAAGGAGGGGTAACTCTGTTTTACATACAATATCTATACTTTAGTATAAGTTTCTTCTGTCCTCTTTTTATCTTTCTTTACTCATACTTTCATCATCCTCTCCCCAAACCCATCTTTTTTTTCTATCTACCATTTTTTTCAGCCTGGTATATTTCAAATATACAACCTGTTTTGAGGAAAACACAAATGCAATCAATTTAATAAATAATTCAGTCTGATACCAGCTATTGTTGCACAAGATTAGTTTCCAATTATAACAAAGCCAGAAATACTTTAATACCTGAATTATTCAGATAATTGACGTATCTCTTTTAGTTTGTTCCCTACCTGATAGTCCTGATCATCAATCCCAAATCTTTCCCGTAGATTTCGGAATACCATTGGACAATACTCCTTAAATTTGAAGCGGCTTGGGAGATTCTCTCTGAAAGTAGCCACAAAGAATTGGTGATTCAATATTGAAAATAGATTAGAAAATTAAACCAGACCAGAATTCTTTATTGGCCAAGTGTGATCAGACACACAAGGAATTTATCTCTGGTGCATAAGCTCACAGTGTACATATAAACAGTAAGTAATAGATCATAGGTCATAATCATAGTTACAATCATTAATCATAAGTTATAAATAACAATTGATAAATTATAGGAAACCAACAGAAGATAATGGAAATATGAGAAGATGAAAAAAGATGAGAAATGAGACAGTGCTGTGGGAATTAAGTGTTCAGCAGAGTAATGACACAGGGGGAAAAAACTATACGTCTGGTTGTGCATGCAATGCTCTATAGTGGCATCCTAAGGGGAGAAATTGAAATAAATTATGTCCACAATGTCCAGGATATGAGGGATCTGTAGATATTTTTTCAGTCTTCTTTCTGGTTCATGCAGTATACAGTAGAACCTCTGGTCATGACCATAATTTGTTTCATAACTTTGATTGCAACCCGATTTGGTTGTGACCCTAACCAAATTTTAGAAATTTGGCGCTTACAAAAAAATGGCACGAAAGGGGAAATCGGCGGTGGGGAAAAAACATTTTGTGAATTTTTTGGGTGGAACCTGATTTGGTTGTGGTTAGAGTACAGATCTTCAGTGGAAGGCAGGCTGGTTGGGATCATTTTTGTGCAGTTGATAACTATCCGTTGAAGTCTATGTCTGTCCTGTTTGGTTGTTGTGCAAAACCAGACACTAATAGAGGTATAAATGACAACCTCAATAATTCCTCTGTAAAACTGCATCGGCAGATTCTTGGCATCTAAGCTCTCTGATTTGATACAGGAAAAACATTCTTTGTTGTGCCTTTTTAATGACGTTTCTAATGTTAGGTGTCCATTTCAAGTCCTTGGAGATATAGAACCTAGAAACTTGAAAGTCTCTACTGTTGATACTGTTGATATTAGCGTGTAAATTTAAAATTTAAATATACATACTAGATTATTATTTGTTAAATTTATTTGCTGCCTATCTCACCATGGGATTACTCTATTACAATAATAAAAGGAAATAAAAATTGAAAGTATAAATAGAACAGAAATAAAATAATAGAATAATAAAATAAACAATGAAAAAGGAATGCAATGAGAATAATACATTAATATGGTAACCAAAAAGATGGATGAGTGGGGAGCAGAGAGCAAGGGTAGGAAGGATAGGTGGAGTTTGCTATCAATCTAGCAGCCACCTCCAGCCTAATCTCCACACCTCCAGTGGAACTATTGGTCCCCAGGCCAAAGAGACTATATCTTAGCACTGTATGTCTAGTTCTACATTCTTCATACATAACTATTTTTAAAAATGTGTATCTACAGTACATTATGTGATGATGAATTCAGACTTCACTACTACAATGTTCTCCCAGATATGCTGCAATTCTGATTGTGTTGTCTGGGAAATCTGGAACTGTAATGCAACATAGCAACTCAAAGACATTTGATGAAAATCAGGTTGGGTATGTGACTATTGGCTGCTTAATCAAAAACTGTGATTGACTTCTGCTGATTGCTTACGCTATAATGAAGTTATATTTGTTAATACTGACACTGCTAATACTGTGTAAATGTTAACAATACAGGCACCATCAGGCCTAAGAATAAAAAAAGATCTAAAAGAATAAAAAGAAAGACAAAATGATATATCTTCCACTATGGCATTAGAGAAAGATTAATCAGCTTTAATTAAAGCATATGAGTTGGTTAGTAGCAGTTGTAAAATTTCTGACCTCATATATTGATTGAAAAATCTAGGCAAAATTGTCCAAAGTAATTCATGTAGCATGAAAATAACTTTTTATCATTTCATGTCCTTTTCTTTAGGAGGTCAAGTAAATTATAGTTTTATTTCACCTTAAATTTAAGGTTTACATTTGTCTTTTCATGATCAGTCCTAAAATTTTCCCTTCATTACATAAACTTTTGACAATCTCTGACTATTAGTAGGAGGATTAGACTAAATCTACTCAATAAGTAATCATGGTGGATCAGCCATCTGGATGCATTTCGGAAGCTCACAAACTTAGATAGAAAAGCTATAGATCCTTTTATAGTCACTTTCCACAAACCCGTTTAAGGCACACTGCCAATGTTGTAGGAAATAATAAATAATCATAAATATTAGTAGACTCTGATCCTATGTGTATTTCTTCAATCTTTTTTTAAATAGTTTGACTGACATTAACACAAGTATTAGCACATTCCAAATTATGCCCTCTGTGATTATAACTTTTGGATATGAAACTGTGAGATACAAACATCTCCTTTTTCACATAATCGAGGCATTTTACAACAGTATTTTTAAAAATTTTGAAGCTTTTTTTCAGTATTTCTGTACAAATTATATAAAATGTGATTACATCCTAAAACTAAAGAGTTAAACAAAACAAATAAATCAAAAACATTTTACATGTTCTCTAATTTATAGAGGTAGATGATCCAAACAGGGGTTGGATACAACAGGGTTAACTTTACGAGCTTCCCTACCCACTGTGAGCCGCTCGCCTGTTAATCGTCATTAGCACGCTGAGTGCTGAGAAGCAGCCTTTGAAACAGCCCTCTTTTCTTGCTTTTTAAACTGCAGCTGTGCCTCGTTTGGCAGCTGAAGTTAAAAAATCAGGAAATAAAGGTCAGGTAAGAGCCTGGGTGGGCAGGTGGGCAAAAACATCAGCAGACATAGAAGCGGTTCTATGTCTGCTGCTCTTCAGAGCTACTGGTTCTACAGAGGTAGACAGAACCGGTAGAAACCCACCCCTGGATCCAAAGCTACATACTTGTGTGTGGCAAAAGTATATGAACTTGTGCTTTCAATAGTTGGTGTGACCTCCTTGGACAGCAATAACTGCAACCAAATGTTTCTGATAACTGTTAACCAGTTTTGTATATTTGCTTGGAGGAAGTTTAGCCAATTTCTCTTTACAGATTAGCTTCAATTTAGGGGCGATGGTGGGCTTCCTTGCATGGACTTGCCCACTCCAGGTCTTTCCACAACATTTCTACAGAATTAAGATCAGAACTTTGACTTGGTCATTCCAAAACAATAACTTTCTTCTACTTTAATTATTTTTTGGTTGAAATGCTTATATGTCCTGGGCTATTGTCTTACTGCATGACTCACTTTGTCTTGATAATCAGTTCATGGACATATATCCAGACATTTTCCAGAATTTTATGCTCTTGTTCCCCAGAGGCCCTATGGCAACAACCCATGGCAGTGGGAAGATCTGCCCCAAGACAGAGGGTGCTAAGAAACATCAGATTAAAGCAAGCTGTTTTTGGACTTTGGATGCAGGGATGGCCAATATTAGAACAATGAAAACGGATGCTCGACTGGAACTGTTGACTGAACTCAACCATATGCATTGGGATATCATTGGATTATGTGAAACATGACAAAAATTCCAAACTTTAGTTGAACTTGATAGGATTGGGCATTACCTTCACTAGAGATTCTGTTATGGACAAGGTAGCAAAGTTGGTTTTTTTCATCAACTAAAAGCTGAAAGACTATACTAAAATTTGAAAGTATATCAGACAGAGTAGCCCAACACGTCATTCAATTGAACAAACAATACAAGCTTCAAATCACCAAATCTTACATGCAAACAATAAGCTATTGTGATGATGAGGTTGAAGAGTGTTACAACAATGTGGCCTGGCTTCAAAACAAAGAAAAATGCCAATACGAAATATGAACTGGTGATTTTAATGCAAAAATAGGAAGAAAAATACCTGGCCCATATGGAAGTGGTGAATGAGATAATAGAAGCAACAGATTTTGCTAAAGGACAGGAACTTTATATCATGAAGTCATTTTATGAGAAAAAAGTTAGCAGAAATTGGACATGGAAGAGTCCATCTGGGTACAAAAGCAAAGTTGACTACATCATGGCTAGTGATAAAATCATATTCTGCAACTGTACTATCATCAATTGTTTTAATGTTGGAAGTGACTATAGAATGATACAAACTAAAGTGAAGATAAGAGTGTGGAAAAGACCATATAAAAATAATAAACACATCATGAAAAACAAAAATGAGTGATAATTTGTTAATGCCATAAAATGTTTAAAATAAAATAAAATCCTCCTTTCAGTCATCTGCAAGGCTTTCACCAAAATAATAGCAAAAGGAATATTGAGAACATTAAATGATGTACAGCCAAATGAGCAGGCAGGGTTCAAAGTGGCTACAGCACAATGGATCACATCCAGGTTGTTCAGCAAGTCACTGAAAGGCACAATGAGTACACCATGTCACTATGCATGGCTTTCATTGACTACGAAAAGGTGTTTGATTCAGTATTCCAGAAAGCAGTAATTAATGCATTGGTCAGTCAAGGCACAGACATTATTTACATAAACCTACTACAATCAATATATGAAAAAACAATGGCGACAATTTGCCTTAATGATCTTAAAAATACATGCTCAGCAATACAAGACAAGATAGAAAGATCTGCAATGGCTTGGACAACAAACGAAAGTATACAATATTATCAAGAGAGTGAAAAAATCAAAATGGAAATGGGCTGGTCACATAATAAGAAAAACTGATGGCAGTAGACAAAGGCAATCATAGAATGGATCCCACTTGATAAAAAGCTTCCACAAAAGAGACCTAAAACAAGATGGATTGATAACATCAGCATGTATTACAAGACCAATTGGCAAAAGGAAACTCAGAGTCGTATTGGTTGGAAACATGCAGAACAGGCCTTCTTTATTTAGTCTATCATCATCATCATCATCATCATCATCATCATCATCATCATCATCAT